ATTAGGTACCAGGATTATCAACTATAGTGATTGCAAAAAGGTCATAATTTGGCTGCTGCACCTACACTTGATAGTTAATTAATTGTCAAGAAATTATCTGCAAAACTGGGAATTTTTATCTGCTATAGATTTTCTATTTTGTTTGCATAAAATAATGGTGAGCACAATTTTTGTCATGTTTTTTTACCTTTTTTTGGCTTTTCTTATATTGTTGGGTTGTCCCATTTTCTTTCTTTTCAGTAACCAAGTGAAGTGCCATGGATTAAAAGTGCAGGGTGAAAAAATTTGTGGACCGGAGTGTATAAAGCTTTGAACTGATCTTGTGATTTGGTGAATCTTAATTTAGGTTTATATTAGCATCTGATTGGTTATTTTAGCATCTAATTACTCTAGAACCCACTAGCTCAGCACTAGGCATTTCAACCTCAAACCTGAAAAGCATACTTTCACTTTCACAATCAGCCAACCCCACCTCACTCTCTCTTTGCTCTGCTGTTTTTGTGTTTGTTTTTTAGCTCAAAGGGGGCAGAACCCACTTGGTCATAGGGAGTTTCTTCGTTGCTACTTCCCTCTGAAGAGTGTTTCTTGCTACTAAGCATTTAAAAAGAAACTTCAGATTGAGACACCTCATTGTACTAGAGTTTGACTATTATGTCTTTGGCTTCCTGCAGTTAACACTATCGGGACTGCTAAACTTCATAGATGGCTTATGGTCTAGCTGTGGAGATGAGAGGATCATAATCTTCACCACTAACCACAAGGAGAGGCTAGACCCGGCTCTTCTGCGCCCGGGGCGCATGGACATGCATATCCACATGTCCTACTGCACTTACCATGGCTTCAAACTCTTGGCCTCAAACTACTTGGGCATCCATAACCACCACCACCTCTTCGGAGAAATCGAAGACTTGATGAAGGAAACAGATGTGACTCCGGCACACGTTGCAGAAGAGTTGATGAAGAGTGAAGATGTTGATGTTGCACTCGAAGGACTTGTGAAGCTTTTAAAGAGGAAAAAATTGGAAGGTGATGAATTTGAGGATGAGGCTGAAAAGAAGAATGCAGCTCAAGCAGCCAAGAGGCAGAAAACAGGGAAGCAACAAAGGAAACCTGTGAGGAATAATAGAAGAAACAGCACCAAAAGAACAAGCAACCGCTTATCTGCTAAGAAAACCATTTTGTATTAAACTAATCTGCTTTGGATAAAGATTGTCTCCGATCCTAATACCAAAACACTGATGCTAGATTTTGGGGCTTAGTTTCACCACTCTTTAGTTTGCCACAGGGTTGCCTTGCCCTTCTTGGGAATCTATGTTGTAAAATAAATGAGTATGGTCATATTAACATTAATGGCAAAAAGTTTTCTTTCAGCTGTTAAAAATACTTCAATGATTAACATTACCTAAACCCCTGAAGAAATGGGTACTAGTCAATGATTTGAGTACTTGTAAGGAAGGGAAAGAAGAGCTCTGTTGCTTTCAAGAACAATTTTCTACTTCCCTGAATAAGTTCAAAACAGTGGACAATCTGATAGAAACTCCAATATCTATGTTACATGGTACAGTTCCAAAACTATTCAAAATTGATTTGGCCTATATGGCGGCAGTAACAAAATCACAATTACTTGTCTACCACTGTATACACCATTTTAATATGTTTCCATCCCCCACTATGTATTAAGTTGAGATCAAACTAGACGGAATCTGTCACTCTTGGTAGAGGAAGGTTTCTTTCCCATGTTTTGGAGATCCAAATGAGATTAGGCTATTTCCATATATGCTACCTCAGCATGGATGACAAAGATAATCCCTGTAAAGAAGAACAGGAAGGTGGAAGGGTATCCTTTCTTGCTGACAGAGACTCGATTAATTCTTCTATTTGATGCGTCAGCATAAACACTTCATCAGCTGCATCCTTGGTTACCGAATCTTCTAACATCCTACATTAAGTTCCAGTTATCTTATAAAATCAGAATTAGAAAAACCTATGCGGCATATCACAGTAAAACACATAATAGCTTTTTTTTTTAAGGAAACAAAGAATAGCTTATATTTACTTAGCCGAGAGAAAAATGCATTCCTGTTTCTTCTTAAGCCTACTCTAGCAACAGTTTTCAAGATAGACCTCGAATATAATGAAAAACTCCTCTAAACACAAGCTGAAATGATAAACCAACCTTATTTGAGAGTCCGTACTGCTGCTGCACTGTGAGAATAGCACCTTGATGACAGGATGGAGATCTATCTTTGGTACTGGTTCTTCCTTGCCCTCTTTGGCCAAACAATCACCAGTGCAAGACCAAAAATTTGTATTAATGAGAACAATTTGCAGTATGGGAGATTTGGTTTTTAGGTCCCTAACCACGGTCCTAAAAGATAGTTCGTCTTTTGCACATTCAAGTAGCTGACTCGCAAACATTTTTTCCAGGGTATACTTCCTGTTTATGAAATAAAACTTTTCAAAATTAAACATATGTCTACCATATTAAACTCGAACAAACTTCAAGACAATAAAGAAAAATGGAAATAACATGTCAAAATTACAAGGAGAAAGTGATCATGTGAGTGCCCACAGTACAACATTAATAGAAAAACAGCAATATGAAATTATGAATTGTAGATCACTATATGGTATATGCTAACCTGAATAAGTCTGTTGGCCCGCCAACTGGTAGACTGGTAGAAACATTACATTTAAACAATCGAACTCCACCGTCTACAAGTGCATTACCATCATCACATGGGTAAGCTCCAAGAAGAGACGAACATTGAGGGCAGAAAAATTCAATCCACTCGACATCTACTGAAATATTGGAGGACCTAACCATGAAAATATTTTCAAGAAACCCATTTAGGAAAGATTTGTGGTTTTTCAGAATCCCTATGCTTTTAGCAGGTTTTGGGTCCTCCAAGGAAATTTCAGACAAATGAAGTCTGCAGCCTTCCTCATCATAACTTTGAACATGACTTCCCGTATAATTACAGCATCCTGGTGTTGAAGCCATTTTTACAGAGTACTCTGATTCTGAACATCTGTGAGGTACACCCTCACTGTTACTTTCATCCTTAGTAACTTCACATTTAAAATCTTCAGCAAAATATGCATCCTTAACCCCCGCGAACCTCGGTATCTCATTACATGCAAGATTACTTCCTGAATTAAGTTCAGATTCGCTAAAACCATTTTCACCACTTCCATCTGATTCACTATCGTATCTTGGACGTTCACCCCAGTCAGGAAATTCAAACCCAACAAGATCTTCTTTGCAAAGTGTAATATTTGTAGAGTTCAATAGGCACACACCCTTTGCACATGCGTAAGAATTTGCATACCTAGCAACCAGCTTCTCACTAATGCCTCCAAATGAACAGCAGCAAGCCCCAAACCAGTTATCAGCCACCTCTCGCCAATTGACTGAAGGCATTTCCACAAAATGGCTACATTTATAAATGAAGGTTGAAATATCACAAATAAACAGGAAAGAGATCTTTAACGATTGACTACAATTTAATGAACTTATAAGCATAGCCAGCAAATACATTCTTACCTAAGGGGGCTTGCAGTCAACTTAAATGAGCAATTTCTGCAGTAAAAGTGAACTCCACCAGACGAAGATAGTCTCTTTACCTCTGAACCAATCAACCAACCAAGAATTACATGAAAGAAGCAGACATTCGAAACACAATCAAAATTTACAAAAACTGAGGAACATGGCAAAATGTGCACACTTTTCGCATAATAATTCATACTCCTAAATATATGTAACAGCCATAGCATCCATGTATTGAGGAAAAATCAGCCACATTTGACAACTAAATTACTAATTAATCCTCGAAAGACCACAACTTCAATACAATTTTGTTTAGTCACTAATAAAAACACAGAAAAGCTAGTCTTTTTAGTTTTCCTTTACTTATGGTCTTCTTCCTTCTCAAAAGAAAACAAATTTAGCTAAACCCAGATTGAAATGCGACAGTTCAATAGTTCGTTTCATTTTCTGCAGCAACCAAACAAACACTGAACTGAACCAAACAGATTAAGCAACATTTTCAACTCACCAGAGGCCAGCGGAAGCGGCTTGGAAGCATTCTCAAACGCAATCTCTTTCTCTTCATTCAAACTGAGTATAGAATCGAAGCTCAAAACAATAGGGTGATCAACAGGTAGAAGAAGGACGAGCTTGACCTCAATGTGATCATCTAAGGCACTGAAGCTCACAGGAGAGTCAGCATCCACCAAAACCCTAGGCATTGGAACCCTAAGCGAGACTTGGGCATCCTCGGTCCAGCTCACCAGGACCAGAGACTCTGAGGGGCATATGAGGACGCTGAGCTTCTCGCATTGAATCGAGGGTTTTGTGTATGAATCGAAGAGGAACAAGCGGAGGGTTGGGATGTGAGATTGGGCTTCCCATGTGAACCGCCATTTTCGAAGATTTTCGGCGGTTCGAAGCTCCTTGGACATTTCTTTGCTGCGGCTACCTCTGCTCGACTACGCTGTATTTACGGGAATTTTTTTGAAAATTAAATATTTGCCACCCCTAATTTTTTTTTTATAGGCACAAAACGTCTGAGGTTCATGAAATTATTAGATTGCGTCTCAAGATTATTATGCCTGCTCAAAAAAACTTTATTAGTATGTGGTACATATATGGAATTCATGTATCCAATAATGTACTCTCACATGTATTTAACATAGAATATATATATTTTAAATTCATAAAAATCAAAAGAAATTTATACTCAATCGGTCTCTGCGTTATCTTTCCCTTTCCTCATCTAACAAGATAATGTGCAAAGAGTAAGATTTAAAGGACCGAAGAAAGTAATAATTATTAAAATGAGCAAGGGGAAAAGGAGAGAGGGTTTTCGACCCTAAAAAAAGATAGGAGAGAGGGTAGGGGCGGCCTTGATTTTTGGGTGGTCCTAGGCAATAAACTAAATAGAAATTTAGTGAAATACCCATTCCTAGACATGAAATTATAAAAATACCATATACTATTTAATGTATATAAACACACCCAAAATAAACCCAAAAATCGACAGCTGTATATTTTTTAATTTAATTATTAAGATGAAATACTTTTATTACCCTTTTAACATAAAATAGGAGTTCTAATCAACACCAGATCAGAACTCATTTCACGACCTCCAGTCTCTCATCTTCATCTTCAACCTCAATTTTCAATTTTTGTTCTTCCAGCTCAGTTTTTGTTCAACCTCATCATTCTAAGCTTCGTCGGAGGGCTCGCCTGGACCACCGACAATGATGCGCTGGAGAGGGCCTTTTCTCCGTTCGGTGAGATCATCGAATTGAAGGGCCGTTTGACGCAGGTTCTCTCTCTTTGATCTTCTGTTTCTCTATGTTACTTGATCTTTCTCTCCCAAAGATTGAATATCGATCGATTCCTTTTCATTTTTGTTTATTATTGTGTATTTGTTTGATTATACTCCGGCGTTTTGGTTTTGATGGACGGATCTGATTAGATTTGGTTTCTTTTTGTGTTTCCAGATCATCAATGACCGTGAGACTGGGAGATCCAGGGGCTTCGGCTTCGGCACCTTCAGCAACGAGAAGGCCATGAGGGACGCGATCGAAGGCATGAACGACCAGAACCTCGACGGTCGTAACATCACCATCAACGAGGCCCAGTCTTGTGGAAGCAGCATTGGTGGTAACGGAGGTTACAGCTTGTGTTTTCTCTTTTTCTCTATCTCTGGTTTAAATGCGGAAAATGGATATATAAAAAAATAATTTATAGGTGTTTTTCGAATTTTAGTTTGCTATCTGGTGTTGGTTGATTTTGAATTGGTCATATGTGTTGGTAGAAAATTCATGCGTTGTTGTCTCTCATCTGTAGTTGTTGTTCAGTTTAATCCTTGAAGGAGCTTGTACCCAAGTGTGTGAGGCTGGCTCACTTGTTTCATGTTTGATGTAGTAGCACTAGTCATTTTGATTTGGCTGTAAGATTTAGCTATAAGGAATTGTTTTCTGCGTTTTGAAACCAAAACAATTTCTCATTTGAAGCAATAAGTTTCTATAATCTGTTATACACATGAACTTATTTGATGACTGCAAAGATCTATATTAATTTCTTGGATGATCAAATTGACTATTTTCGGTATGATATCCTGGAAGTTTGAATTTTACATTTATATATATATATATATTCCACTAGAGGGCTTTCATATTGTCCGACTTGTTCTCTCAATGTACTTACAAACACAATATTACCGTTCCGTTTGTGGTGCCTTGTATGTGATGGCTTGAACCTTACTATTCTTAATTTTCTAACTGGTTGAGGATACGTTTGCTCTGCTTGATTATCTCCATATTTCACACATATGCTAGTTTCATATTTTATAGTCTTCCATTTCTACAACAAACGTTTGTCATAAATGAGAAGCTGACATAGCAATGATGTAATTTGCATTATCATATACGCGAAGCGTACTTTCTCCGTCTCTTTCTCCATCGATATATATTCCCCTTATTTAAGTCATCATATATTATATCTGACCATAGTGTCTTAAATCTTTGGTGGTCATTCGAATTATGAATATGAATATGGATTTCTTAGTTCAATTTAGAAAATCTATGTTATTCTCTTATTGGTTCAGCATATATCTATTGAAATTTTGACGCGGAGAGTGAATGGTTTCATATTATCCTTGTAGTTTGTAGTGAAATAGCAGACTATTCAAATTCTATATACTATTTCACCTTATCAGTTATGCGCTTTGGGCTTATGATTGTTATCTGTGTTGTTCCAATTATTCTATTATGCTTAATTATTTTGTTCTTATTTCTTGTTGTTAGATTTGGTGAACAACCTTGGTACCATTGCAAGGGTGGCACCAAGGAATTAATGGAAGCCTTGGCTGCTGGTGCTTATCTTGTTGCAGATAAGGTCATTGTTACAACCAAGCACAATGATCATGAGAAGTATGTGTGGGAGCCACTCCGATTCAATGTTTATGGTATGTGGAGTGATGAATGATCAATCAATTATGCAAATGAAATGATGTAGTTGATTTTGAGTGGTATGAAGTTGTAAACTTTTATTGTACCTATTATGCAAATGAAATGATGTAGTTGTTAACTTCCAGTAAGTGGTATGAACAGTTGTTATACTGTTCATACCCTGCAACTGAATTGATTTATATGACATAGTATTAATAGTGTACTTCTATGAGATACTATTAACAGATTTTCAGTAACAAAACATGCTTTATATTTTTCTCTATATATAGCTGTGCACTTGAAGTTTATGATATGCAGGATGTGATTTTTACTAGGAATATAGTTCTATGACACAGTATTAACAGTGTACTTTTTTTCTTGTAGATGTATTTCCTTTTGCCTTTGCGATTGTACCTGGTGAAACTG